ACTTGCCTATGCATATACTAACTTAGGAATCATATGTTATTTTATGATGCACTTGCATGAACTCTATTGTAAACTATGGGTGTCTCATTTTGAGATATTGTATTTGTGTTGTAATGGGTGTTAGAGGTTGAGATACTAGTGCAAGTGTTAGTTTTATGTTGTTTCATATGTTTGTTTAGCCATTTAAAAGATGATTTTATGTTTGTTACTTCTTGTAGAATTTATGTTAAATTTGAGGTTTTGATGGCTAAAACTTGTTTGGAATGCTGTTGTTGTGGTTTGAATGCATTTACAGGTTGTTTATAGTCCATTTGAATTAGTTCAAATGATTCTATGGTTATTGGCACTTAGTTTGGGAGTTTGGTACCTTGGTTGTTGTTTTGGAAGGAAAAATATACCATTTTGGTTTAGGTATCTAAATCTCATTTTGGTTTAGTGTGTGGGTGTGAGACCAAAGTCAATAGTTAGGTAGCTCTAACAGCTATGTGTGGATGCTTAAATTGCTTGAATCAGATGTTAAACGATAAAATGACGTACTTTGAAAGTTGGCCCCGAGTGCAAGCATGTGCGCACCATGGAACATTAACAGTGGCACTGCAACACAAGACACAGAGAGTGACATTTCTATAATGTCTGCCTTGATATTATCAGGACAACATTCTTACACGCTATTGTGATAACTAGGAATAGTTAAATTCTAAGAAGAAGTTATCACAATCTAAGGGTTTCAAAGATAATAAGTTGAAATAATAAGATTTTAAGAAAACCCTTTTTAAAATAGTTTTGAGCTCAAACAATTGTTAAAAATCAATTAAAAACAAACACAAAAGTATGAAAATCAAATCACGTCAAATTTGGCTAAAACAAGCCACTTTTCAACAATCTTAGTCTGTTCATTGTGGCGTAAGCAGTGCCTTTTGCAGCAAATGGCACAAAAGGATGAGTCTCTCGAAGGCTCCTTGCATCACGGTGTAACAACCATGCGCTGCAACGCACACCTACTGTCATGATAGCAGATTGCTATCATGACAACCCTACGAACTTCTGAAGCGTGCAGTTTCACCATATGACTTCCGATTTGAGTGGTTCAAGTGTCCACACAAAGCTCTTTGAGCCCTCTAGCTAATGGCACCGATCTTACACTCAAATACCCATCTGTTTAAAAGATGAATACTTGAATCCAAAATGATTCGTTTTTATCTCAAAATATACATAATAGTGTCCAACTTACAATACCAAATGCCATTAGTCTTAGAGACGCTGTGACTACCTCAAATAGACCACACACAACATGACAATTCATTCATATAACACAAATAAGCAATCACGCTCAAAATGACCACCAAACCTCTATTTGACAAGAACAAAAATAGGCAAATTGTATTTAGCACACACATCAACTTGGTTATTTTAGGCACATAATTCACTTCAAATTTATCACTAGAAATTGTAACTTAGCCCAACACACACACACACACACACACACACACACACACACACACACACACACAATCCATTAGATTAACCTTGGACCAAGATATACACTCTTATAGCAAATCCATACAAGTGATATTTAAAATAATGTCATGTTCCTAAGTTGGCATTATATATTGACAATATTCATTACAATATCCAAAAAGAGAAAAGAGAAGAGCTATACAACTATGCTCTTTACTCTTCAAATGCTCCCTTTATCCTTACAGGGGCCCTCACATGTAAAATATAACCACGAGGTGAGATAAACATCTCAATAATAGAATAATTCACTACTATTAATTAACATGTACAACCATAAGAAAGTAAAACCATAAAACTCTAAAAATATACTTGTAGCATATCACCACATACTCTTTTCATCAGTACAAATCTTTTACTACTCACATGATCATTTTACCATCCAAGTCTCCAAATCACCTAGACTGAAACCATAGGCTCTTGAACTAAGTGTACGTTCACAATGGTTCGAGTTCACCTTTAGTGATAGGATTACCTAGCCAAAGGTGTCTTATCCCACTTCCGAACTATGATTTCTGTTATTACACACGAATCGGGGTGTCGTTACTCCAACACCGTATCATTGATGCTAAAGAGCTTCACTTTCCAATGTTGTATCTTATATAGATACTAAGGAGAAAATCTCTAACACCGTGCCTCACTAGACACTAAGAAAAAACATGCCATATGGACTTCCACTACACCTTTCTACGGGTGAACTCTCACCCCCTAACATGATCATGCCCACACTCAACATATATATCACATATACATTTCAAATTTTTAAATCTATTCATATATAACTTTCATCATACTCATCATTTGCAAAAGTAAATTTTTCATGCACAAAACCATATTTCATAATATGCAAGGTTATCAAATCTCAAGTTCAAATCAACATATCTACTCATAAACAGTTAAGCAATATAATCAATCAGTGTAAATTATTCCATTACCTTAACCCTTTGTCACACAAAAGGATTACTGTGGCTCAACATTAGCTCTACATGTTCTATATGCATAATATAGCTCGAGAAACACTCAATCTACACAATCAAGTGACAATCATCAATTATCACTTCGACTAACTTCGAATTCACTAGGTTCTATGTGGCTAAAATACCTAAATTCCTTTTCTAACAACACCAACCATTCTCAAACACTCTAACCATCTTCTTAGACATTCCAACACACCAAAATCACTAACCAATATCCCACATTGTCTCAAAATCCTCAAATTATACCTAAGATTCATTCAAAGCCTTACCAAAAATTTTCAATCACCACAAAACTCATAAACTTAGGGTTAGAAGCTTGATATAACTCTCCAAGACTTTAAATAAACTAATAAGTTTGGTTTAAACTCAAGGGAATCAAAATTAAAGCCCTTATTGCCCCACCAATCCAGATTTTCACATAAAAGAGGGAGAAAAGGGAATGTGAAACTTACCCAATAGTGATTTAGGCTCTAAATGTTTTTAAAGTAGCCTAAGGATTGTGCTTAGCAGAGTAGGAGCTCCTCTCCGTCACTCTCTCATTTTGCCTTCTTCTCTCTTCTATTTTCAGTCTATTTTCACAAACTGATAAGTGTTGATTCTACACGTGTGTTGCGGCGTATTGACACGCTCCCTGCGACACATGGCACAGAAAGTCTCACAAAATTTTAAACTCCCTTCTATGCCATGGCCTGCTTAAATATAGCCTTAGCCCTCTTCTAAGGCTGTCTAAGGATCCAAAAATTATATTAATCTCCCATAAAACTCATCAATTAATAATTTATCTAAATTGATCAATTTACACTTGAAAATACTGATAATTACTAATTACAATTTCCCTCTGTGCAATCCACTGTAGTAGACAGAGCATTGCGCCGCAGTACACTGTGTCTTTTTTGGGAAAGCTTCCTAGATGGTTTTAATATTAATTCATGTGTTGTTTTAACCTCTATGCTTCCATTGTATTGTTTAATTAGTTTGCAAACTATAATTTGTGCTTAAATGAATTCTAAAAGGGTTTTGTGGGGATCCCTAATTCTTAAATCTTTTTTTAACCCTTGTGTTATGATAATCGCTTTTATTGAATTGGGACAATCTTGATAATCATAACAATGTTTCATGTGCTTGGTAATGTCAAGACGGTCATTACAAGTGAAAATAGATGGATTTAATGAATGTGAAATAATGAATTTAGCTTAAGAAATAACCATGACAATTGCTGCATATAGAACAAACAAGTTACAAGATAGTAACATACTTAATATGTTAACCCAAGGATTTATAGGAAGTTTAAAGGGCTGGTGGGAAAATGTTCTCACTGAATCAGAAAGACTTCAAATAAAAACTTGACATTCTATGAAAAAAGAAACCAATGGTACATAAACAAGATATTTAGATAATATTGGACAATTAATAGATGCTATAATAAAATATTTTGTAGGAGAACTTGCAAGAATACAAGAAAAATATTTAGAAAATTTGATGAATTGTGATGTACACTTGCAAATTTTAGATAGTATATAGATAATTTCGTTGCAAAATTTAATTTATATGAAAGAGGTGGCATTATTAAATAATTAAAATTTCAACTCTTTTTTTAAAATTAAAATTTTTATTAATTATTATTATTTTAAAATATATAATTATTAAATATTATTTATTATTAGTTAACTATTAAAAAATAATTTAAATGAGAGATATGGCATTTCCAAATATTAGAAATGCCCCCTCTTTCTTATAAATTAAATTTTTTATTAATTATTATTATTTTAAAATAAAAATTTATGAAACATTGTTTATTTTTAGTTAAATATTAAAAAATTTAATATATATATATATATATATAAAATAGAGGAGGCTTTTGCAAATAATAAAAATACCACGTCTCTCTTTAAAGCTAAATTTTTATTAATTAATATTATTTTAAAATAAATAATTAAACGAGAGAGGTGGCGTTTCAAGATGTTAGAAACGCCACCTCTCTCTTATAAATTAATTTTTTATTAATTATTATTATTTTAAAATATATATTTATGAAATATTGTTTATTTGTTATTAAGTATTAAAAAATTAATTTAAATGAGGGAGATGGCATTTCTAGATATTGGAAACACCACTTCTGTAATTTAAATTAAATTTTTAATGAGCTAATATTTATTTTTGAAATATATAATTATTAAATTTTATTAATTAATTATTAAAAATTAAAAATTATTTTAATAAGAGAGGTATGGCTTTTAGATTATGAAAACACCACCTCTTTATTTAATATTAATTTTAAAATATATAATTATTGAATTTTATTAATTAAATTTTAAAAAATATTTTAAATTGGTGATGTAGAAATGACACCTTTTTATTTTAATTAAAATATTTGATTATTATATTTTTTTAATTAAATATTAAATAATAAAAAATTATTTTAAATAAAAAATGTCATCTCTCTATTTTAGATTAAATGTTTTAATTCGTTTTCTGAAGCCCTGCCGTTCACTTGATGTGTCCCTGTTCGTCACTTGTTCAGCGCCTCACCCTCAAGCTCCAATCTCAAGTTCAAACTCTACCTTTCGTTTCCTCAGTCTCTGTCATGCACGGCTTAATCTTGCTTAATCTTAGTTGCAGTCTCTCTGGATTCATATTCAGAAATCTCCCTTAGGTCTTCACTCTGTAAGTGTCATCTTCCTCTCCGCTTTGCTTTCTACAGCTTTTCTCCTTCTCCACATCCTCTTGCATATGGTCGACTCGGGCTGTCGAATCAAACACCAGTAATAACGTTGCTACCTCTTATATAAAATACACATGAAGAAGAATGCAAAACTCTAACACAATTCAAATAGTTGAAGAATGATAAACTTTTCGGCTCACCTGATCCCAGGGGAGAAGCGACCCAGGTTCTTTTTTCATTTTTACCTTTTGTCAACCTATCCATATATACTTATATCAATCTTCATGATTCTGCTTTTGTTTCTCTTCAGCTGATAATAAGGAAAAAGAAAGAGCGAGTTTGAAAAGTCAGACACTGTTGTACTGTTGCTGTCGTATTCATGATTCTATTTTGAATTTTTATCTGGATGACTATGGGGAACCGGAAAGTGAAAAATTTGATAAATAGGCAGATCATGATACGGTGTGGTATGGGGGATCGGGATGGTGGTGTCGTGCATCTCATGTGAGGTTAAGGAATAAAAAGCGCAAGAGAACTAGGCTGAGAGAACCTTATTATTTAGCCCACTTTTGTTTCCAGAAATTAAATCTCAAGCTTTGAACTTTGCCTCTAGCCTATTCGTCATTTAATAAGGTGCTGCTATGTATAACTTGATGAAGATCATGTTATTTTAATAATCAGTTTGGTGTTTTTTTTCCCCAACCATGTACTGTAATTGAATTATTATTATTATTATTTTTACAGATACGATGAATAGTTAATGAAACGAAGAATACTTCAATCATAGTTTCTTTTTTGGTTTGATCTTAAGATTCCATTTATCAGTGAGAAAATGGTCAGGTTTCGAGATCATGGGAGAACAAAAGGGAAAGAGAAACCAGAGTTCTTTCGATCTAAGTACAGATATTCGTCCTGTTTGTTTTGTGGGTCAAAGTAACATCAGTTAGAAGCATCATTTGGTTCAGAAAAATAGTTGTATGGGCTTGGCCACTTTAAGCTGGGTTTCCTATTGACTTACAAAACATATGCAAGCTTGATCATTTGTACCTGCCTCCCTGGGGTCTTGGAACTAACACACTTACGCTTGAACAAGAAGGTAAGTACCTTCATTTGTATAAATTATTCAAAGTTCTAAACGAGCTTACACTTAATTGCAGCCAAGGTGTATCACAAAGACCTTAAACCCAAGAATATATTGGCAAATGCAAATTGCAAACTCAAAGTTTGTGATTTTGGACCGGTCAGAGTTATATTCAATGATGCCCCGACAACAATATTTTGGACAGTATGTAGTTTGATTTACTTCAAATTGGCAAATGGAGCAGATAGAAGTTATAACTGTTTTATATACTTTATCAGGTCCAGTGGTAGTTGCTTGGTCATCGCTTTGGAAATGCTAATGGGATGGCTCCTCGTTCACAGTAATTAATCTTGAACTGTATCTTTGTTACAATTCTTGATGCTTTTATCATCAATATTTGAATATCAATATATCAATAACAAAATCTATAACAAACTGTACTATTCATTTTGATGAGATTGAGAACCTTAATGCTTCACATGTTGATGAGTGTGCACATTACAATCATAGGAAGGAGTTAGAACTGAGTCGAAAGACAAGAAGTTCGATCTATTTAAGCTCCTGTTCAACCACTTGAGCAACCATTCTATTGGATTTCTAGTGACTGGCTTCGCAACATTAGTCCAAGGTTGGAACAAATATTTTTATCTTATCATTTATCATTAAGTAACACTGCCGTGCTTTCCGTTCCTAATATAATGGCTGAATGTTTTCCTTCTCCCATAGATTGGGGCTTCTTTTGTCAAATATTTAGGCAGAGTCAGTGTTGGCTTGATTTATAGTATATACTTAAGCTTTATTTATTTATTTATTTGCAGTGCTCTTGACAATGCATCCATTCAATGCTCACACGGCAAAGTTCCTGTATCCAACGTTAATTCAATGAAGCAATTGTCTGATAAAGCCTGGGATAAATTGTTTTCGAAGGCACTTTATGTTAAATTATCTGTCATGTGCTTGGATAGATGCTCTCCTTATTAATGTATCAATTATGATGCCTTTGTCTTATTCATGTGTTTGAATTATATACAGATGTATACGCACAATTGGTTCAGTATGAGACCAAAGGGCTAAGGAAATGAAGAACTTGCATGAGCAAGTTCGTACATGAATATAGAAGTAGAACTTGTGATACAAAACTAAACATGACAAGCATAAAAAATATTAAACTTTTAAGGTGGGAGACTTGATTTGGATGCATCTGCGAAATGAATGATTTCCTAAATAACCAAACGTCAATTTGTCCTTAAGAGTTGATAGTTCATTCATGATTGTGCAAAAGATCACCAATGCTTATAAGGTGGAATTGCCTGGTTCTTATGGAGTGTATGTGGCCTTCAATGTTGCTGATTTATCCCTCACTTTAATGATGATGTCGAATTTGACTTGAGGGTGACTTCCATGAAACTCGAGGGGGATGAAACTGAAGCTTGAATGCATGCTAGTTACCAAAGTAACAATTCAAATGTTCGGTCATTTCATTAGTGCCGCTACCGTACTCATAATAAGCAATAAACATGGTATAACTCCCTGTAACTTCGTCATTTCCATTTAAATGTTGCTTTTCTCCAAGGTAGTATAAATAGGACCTTTGCATTGATGATGATCAGCTGAGTTTGAATTAAAAAAAATCATTTCCTTCATAAACTTGTATTTTTTTGGTTTCTGTACTAGAGTCATAATCTTGTGAATTCAATTCCCACCGAAATCCTTTTAGAGAACCGACTTACTTTGGTTTCCCTAACATTTATTTACATATACTATATGTTGTGCGTGAGTGTGCAATATTCTTCTTAATGAATTGAATTATGTTATTTTTTTATTCTATTGCCTAGTATGCAAGAAATTAACTTGAGATTATTATCATCACTATGGTGTGGAACCATTATTGCTAATGGTAGCTTCGCAGGGGCAGGGAGAATCCTCTTCCTTCTTGTCCTTTTCCTTTCTTTTCCCTTTCTAGCCATTAGATTAAGATTTAGAGAATTTAGATTTGATTTCCTATAAAATTTTTATTAAAATATTAAATTATAAATAAGATAAATAATAAAATTCAAATTACTAAAATTTAATAGGAACAATTAAAAAATACAATAAAAGTAAAATAAAATGAAATAGTTTGAAGAAAATCAAATCTGGATCATCCAAAATTTTGAGATAATAGTTAGAAAAGAAGAAGAGGGAAAGAGAATGGGAATGAAAAGGAAAGAATCATCTCCTTTTCTGTACCTTGTGAATGTTTTTAATATTTTTATTTAACGTGATTGTGAGGTTTTAAAATAAATTGATTTAACTTTTTTAATTTTATTTATAAATTACTTTGCAAAGAGTGATAAGATTAAATCAAGTCTAAGCTTATCATATATATGATTCAGGTATGTATATAGGGATGAGATATTAGGTCTTTTGTCAAAAGAAAGAAAGAAAGAAAGCAAGCTAAAGTAAGTATTAGATATGGTGTTGCCAGCCATGGTGAATATTGGGCCCAAATTAGGTGATTTCTTATAAATTAATGATTGAAGCCCTTTTCACATTATTAAATATTATATTCATTAGCATGGGCTTTCCATTCTTCGTTATGTTGACGCATTTCTTGAAGTTAGAAAAATTTTAAATCTCTTTCTAAAAATTAAATAAATTTTATAATTTGTTTATATTTAATACATCCTTATAATTAAGTTTTTTTCGTATATCAACATTAAATAAAAGTAAAAGGGAAAATTATAATAATTAATTAATATGGGTTTAGGGTTTAGGAACATTCTTTCTCCAAGTGCTTTATAATTAGGATCCCACATAATGATACTCCCTCCATTTAAAAATATAAGAAATTTTTTAAAGAGTTGAATGTTAAAAAATTTAAGACATTTTTAGTCTTTTGAGGTGTAATTATTATTTTTTTCTAAAAATATCCTTATTGATAATGATTTTATATTCATTATAGGGTGTTTAATAAGAGTAAATATAAAAAAATAATATTATTTTAAAAATAAGTAACTAGTTTATTGAAAGGTGAGGTTATGTTAAAAATGTTTATATTTTTGAATGAAAGGAATATAAACTATTCTAGCGTTTCATATAATGAGAATTTTTTGGGAGAGTGGCATAACTATACGCTTAATTAATAATTAGATAGATAATCATTTCAAAATTATCTCTGCTAACCACAACTATAAATTTGATTTTTTAGCTCTTGTTTTCGCTTGTTGTTGATTTTCTTTTATTAGTTTTATTTCTCACACTCTCTTGTTTACGCTTTACACCATATCAAGAGAGGATTAAATGATTATATTTTCAGTCAACGTAATGTGGTATAATATTTATATTAATTAAGGATTTATTTGTCATTTAATTTTTATAAAAATAATTTAAATACGTAAACTCTCTGTCTTCTTTGAATTGCTTGCTGAGATTTATATTTCTGAATTTCCTTTTTTTTTTTGGTGAAGCCGTGGCTAGCTATTTGCCTTTAGCAGTCTGAGTGGACTTTCTTGTCAGACCGCACTTGAACGTGAAGTCCATGGAATTGATTCTCTGCAGTGAAATTCGACGAATTCAGATTTTAATTTAGATGATTTAAATTTAAAATATTATTATATATTATATTTATTAAATATAATAAATATAGATTCAATTTAATATTAAATTTTTTTATAATTGATTTATATTGATTAAATCTGAACTGTGTAGAGTATATATGGATAGTCAATATATAATAATTATAAAATTTTTCATAATAATCTGAACCCTCCAAATTAAATATAAATCATATTAAAAATAAAAAATAATTCAAATTATTTTATAATTTTCATAAAATTTTATTATAATAAATATAAAATAAAAATATAATAGTATTTTAAATTTAAATTATTTAAATTTTAATCTGAATGATTTAGATTTCATTACAGGTTGTGCTTATCCTTACAATAAGCAAAAAACTGCTTATCCTTGCAATAAGCAGAAAACTAGACCCAAAGTTCAGAGGGACATGCTTGTGTGTGTTTTTAAATCCTGAAAATCCTTTCACAAAAAAAAAAAAAATTCTCAGAAAGTAGTATTCTCCTAGCCAATGTTTTAAAAGTAGGACTGGGCAAAATTTTATTGATTTGATGGGATTTAATGGCATAGACTAGCAACAATGTTTTTAGAATGAGATCGGATATTGAACCGAAAAAGTCAGCTGTTCACAGTTCACATGGTTCAACTAAGTTAGACTAATGATTAAACCGATGATGTAATAATTAAATTAAAAAATATATATGTATATAATAATCTAAATATAAAAATACATATGAAGTTATTATTTAATTTAGAAAACCAAATATTTTAACTTTATCATGATTTAACAAGCCACATGATATAACATAATATCAAATGATTAAAAAATTAGTCATTTTTTAAAAAAATTGATAAAAAATAAATTTTTTTTGAACAATCTGGTTTTTGAAAACTGAATCCGATTCTTGACTTGATTTCGGTTCTTGGTCTGACTGCCAATTCAAAACGGTCCAACCTAGCTCAACTCCTAAATGATTTTGGGAGAATGACAATTAAGGACTTTCTAAGAATATTAATCTCAATTACAGACCATAAAATTTTAAAATCTCAGTTAAGGACCATAGTTCTTAATTGTGATAAAAAATGTAATTTGTGAGGTGGGATTCACTAACACGACTTAAAAATTCACCAATCCAATTTGAGAAAATTATTAACGTATATTGTGAAAACATGAAACCCTACTTGGGAATGGAATGTTTGACAAAAAGTGCCACATGAGAATTTACTAACTAGACTTGAAAAAATTTCTAACATATATTGGAAAAAAATAAAACCCTACTTGAGAATTAATTATTTAATAAAAAGTGATTTATCCAAATTGGTGTTTTTTTTATTAAACAATCAATTCTCAAGTGGAGTTTCATGTTTTTATAATATGCATTAGAAATTTTTTCAAGTCGAGTTAGTGAATTCTCAAGTGGTGCTTTTTGTGAAACAATTGATTTCTAAGTAGGGTTTTATATTTTCACAATATACGTTATAAATTTTCTCAAGTTGGGTTAGTGAATTCCCAAGTGGCAATAGTAAATTCCACCTTACAAACTATATTTTTTTTATCACAATTAAAGATCATGATTCTTAACTGAGATTTCAAAATTTCATGGTCCGTAATCGGGATTAATGTTCTTAGAAGGTCCTTAATTGTCATTCTCCCAATGATTTTTTCATATGAACCAAATCAAAATCTAAACCGGTCGACAGTTAGACCGTTCCAACCATTCGATCCTGTTTGGTTTTGGAAACTTTGACTAGCAGTGTAATGAGTGACATAATAATTAAATAAAATTAAATAAAAAATATTAAATGCATATATATATATATATATATAAATCCACGGTATATCTAGTTATTAATAAAATTACACAAAATCATTATAAATTAATAATATTATAAATTATAATTTTATGATTTATCAAATATAGATGGATCTTAATTAAATTAAGTATGAGTAGGTTTAAAAACATTTACATTTGTACCTGTAATTATTAATATACTTCTAGAACAATGCCTCAAATCATATTATATATATGTGAAGGATCTAAAACAAAGTTGGCTTTTAATAGAGTAATTTTTTTTTATTTTTTATTTTTTTAAATTTAGCCTTTTTTATATAGGTATAAACTCATCTAGTGTTCTAAAAATCTTTCAGGTTTCCTACTCAACTCTAGTTTTCATCTCGATGATAGCTCAACTTTGGTACAACTCGGTTCAATGATGAAAATATTTTTTAATCTAAACTGAGTTGTTAATGATTCTAGTAAACAATCCAACTAGTTTGACAATTTTGATCCGGTTCTTAAAACAATGCTTCAAGCCATTCATGGTAAAGGGTCTCTTGTAATTTAATGGGACTATATCCTCCAATACTGAAAAATTGCATCTGGGAAATTGAATATTTCAACCAAGAAGATTACTTAGTGCTTTCATATGTTCATCAGGAAACTAAACACACCACTCTTATCATCAAAAATTCCTACTTTGTATATCCACACTATGAAGATTAGAAGACTGGTATGCGTTTGCAATGGTATGGCGGATTGTTTTGTAGGACCATTTTTCATATGAATGCTAACATTCTATTTTGAACCCTA